GACACGGATGGCAATAACAAAACGTACCCTAGGAGCCTCGAGTATAGTTCTTGGAATTCCCTACCATTTAATTATTTGTAGTGGAGATCAGTATCGGTGCACAAAACAATGATGGAACAGAGAATATTGAGTTTTCCCAATGCGACAAAAATACTCTTGGGCTCGGGGTTCTCCTTTTAGCTATTGCTTCTCCTTTTTAAAAGATGCTCTCTTTTTTAAAAGATGCGGTAGTAATTGGATTTTAGAATATATTTTATTTTAAAAAATATTAAAAAAATATTTATTTTTATATCAACATATTAAAACTATATACAAACATAAAAAATTAAAATTTTACAAAAATACTTTTCAAGTGCAAAAATAATTATGTACAAATTCCAAATAACAACTTTGACAGTAAGCATGCTTTAATTTGCTAGTTTTGTTCCTCTCTATTCTCCGTGTATTATGCTTATTTGTTGCCCTAAATAACCATACATTAAAAAATGATTCAAATATATGTTTATTTTCGAAGCAATTAAAAGTTCACTTTTCACAAATTATGCTTGAATTTTAGAAAGAAAATTATTTACTGTAGCGTACCAGTTTAGATGAGTATAGTTTATTTAAATCTGGATTAGAGAAAATGGTTGATTTTGTTATCCAAAAAATGAATATGATATATCGTCATGATAAAAGAAAATAAAAAGTAAAAGAAAATAAAATTTCACAATATTATTGATAATTATAATTATAATAAAAAGTAAAAGAATTGGTGTTTATATAATGTTTTGAATTTTAGAACAAGATACAAAATTCTATGACATATTTCTCAATTCACGAGGTATGGAAAAGTTTTATTGGTATGCATAAATGTTCTTTTTATTTAATTTCTAGATCTATTAGATAATATAATGAGTTTAAAATGAATTATTTTACTATTATAATATTTTGAAGGTAAAACATGTTGAAAATTGAATTTTTAAAGTTAAAAATATAAATAACATACTTAGATAACAAAATAGTATTGAATTAAGATCCAACTTGATAGCTAGCCCGTTTAAGGTTTAAATTCCAGGTTTTGACAGAGTTACTGAATCATTAAGGTTAATTTTTTTAAATTAAAATAATATTATTTTAATTAAAAAAATTAATTGGTTGTAACCGAGTTTTTGACCTGATTTTCTCAAATCTCCGAATCAACGTGCAGAATTACACTGAATTTTTTTTCTGTTTTTTCAACTTTAACATTTTTTTCAACTTTGAATTTGTCTATTAGACTGACTATATTACATACAAAAGAAAAGACAACAATAATAGATAAAAAAAACACATATTTCTATAATTTATATTTTAAAAGCATGGAAGTTAAAAAACATGTTATTTTATATTTCTACTTTTAGATTTTTAATTAAACATGTTTTTATATTTTATGTATTTATTATTCGCAATCCAAAGGTGGCTGAGCTTAAATTTCAAGCAAGAGAATCAATTTAAAAAATTAAAAAATTAACATATTACATGACATAGAAAACGTTAATTCCCGAAGAAGCTGTTAAAAAAGAAAGAAAAAAAAAAACATTCGATTAAAGGAGATGCCTTCTGTTAGAACATGAACATCAAATTCGAGTATGGGGCGAGGTGGGTCACCAGCCGCATGAACTTTTAGCATAAATATGATTATTAAAAATTATTTTTGAAAGGCCAAAAAGCCAACAAAGGGCAGGGCAATCAAAGCACGTGACCGCCCGATTACTTTCCTGCAAAACACTTCGCTCTTTTTGGGAATCAGACATCCTCTTGTTCTCTGATCAATCCCTTCAGTCTAATCACCGATTTTTTTATCAAGACTTCTCCCTCCTTGGAAAACCGGTCTCCCATGCTTTTATTTTTTTTAAATTTAAAATATTTTTTTATTATTCTAGTTTATTCTTTAAAGATTAAAAATCATTTTAAAATTTTATTATATGTGTGTGTATATATATATAATAAATACATTTTTGTTTCTTTTTACAACTATTGTAAATGAATTCTTTATTTAAAAACTTAAATATCTTAAATTATTTATTATAGATTTTACAATACAGCACAAATCTCAAAATAGCCAAATTTAATATAAATATGAGTGTTTGCTCTCTCGTTGCTGTCTAGAATTCGGTTGTTCATAGAGATAAAATTAATCTTGATGTGCATAATTAATTTAAAATACTATTACAATGAAAGGAATAAAAATCCAGCAAGAAATATTTTAGTTGCTGCAGTACAAGCAATGTTTCCCTTTTTATAGGACAAATTAAGAGCAGGTTTTTTCTCACATCTGCATGTGTCTCCACTTTTTGGCAATTAGCTTTGGTCCTCGGTTTCTTGGTTGCATCTCTCTCTTTCACTGACAGTCGGTCACTGTAATTTATATGACTAATATTTCTTTTCATTATAAAAAATTATACCAGTACAGATAGATTGCTTGCTCGTGTAGTTGTTTTGTGTCAAAAAGAAGAAGAGGAAGAAGAGG